TACTTGGTTACGTGTGACCAAGATTAAACTGTGACTTTAAAATTTGATAACATGTGACTTGAAAAGTAATTTGTGACCAACAAATCTTGAAATATGTGTCCAATAGATAAATCGTGACCTGTAATTTTTTTGATTTGTGACCAATAAAATAAATTGTGATCAATAAAATTTTAATTTGTGACCTCGAAATAATATGTGACTTGTACAAAATTTGATAATATGTGACNAACTTGAGGCAGCGCGGTGGTTTTGTTGGACTGATGGTGGCTGAAATTTTTGTTGATGGTGGCGGCAGAGGTGGTGGATCTGACAGTTTGGGTGATTTTTGTTGAATCTGACAGTGCATCTGGTAGTAGTGGTGGTTTGTAGTTGCCAATGGTGATTTGTTGGTGGTGGCGATGTGGTGTCGGTGGTGGTGGCAACAGTGACGGAGATGGTGGTGGATGTCGCGACTGCAAAGACGGGTGGAGGCGGTGGCGGTAGTGTTGATGACGATGGTGTGTGACCACTTGACTAATTACTTGGTTACGTGTTACCAAGATTAAACTGTGACTTTAAAATTTGATAACATGTGACTTGAAAAGTAATTTGTGACCAACAAATCTTGAAATATGTGTCCAATAGATAAATCGTGATCTGTAATTTTTTTGATTTGTGACCAATAAAATAAATTGTGATCAATAAAATTTTAATTTGTGACCTCGAAATAATATGTGACCTGTACAAAACTTGATAATATGTGACCAGTAAATAAATTGTGACCTATATTTATGTATATGTGATATATTTAATTAATAATATGAATACCTGAATTATGAATTTTCAAACTATAAATCTGATTTTTGAATTGGCGTAAATTATACACCTGATTTATGAATTTTTCCCATATTTTTAATTTTTCATCTAGGATCCGTAAAAATTACACTTACACTTGATTTTTAGCTTTCTAATTCAAAAATCAGGTTTGGAAGTTTTTTTAATAAAAATTCAGAGGGTAATTCAAATTTTTGATATTAATAGTAATTTTATAAAATTAAATTATGCCACCCCACCCACCCACCCAACCCAACTCCATCTACCCCACCAAATTTCACTCTTAAAACGTGTTTGATTGATATGGAAAATGTTTCCTAAAAAGGAAAATATTTTTCTTTTTTTCTCAAAAACAATGAAAATTATGCATGTTTTCAAATGTTGGAAAATATTTTTTATAGAAAAAATGACAATCAAACACTCCAAAAGTTGAAATTCGGGTTGAAAAATGTCGTTTTCCATATAAAAATTTTCGATGAAACACACCCTCAAATCCTAATCATTTTATCCTCTCTTTTTCTCTATATATCTTGTCCATTCTCTCTCTTTATCACACATGGAAGACAGCTATTGGAAGGCTACTGCCAAGAGACTAACACAGTGGTGAGTGTCACTACGTAGCAACGCTTACACCGCATGCGACGTTCTGAGAGTAGCAACGTTGTAAGTATCGTTACGTAGTGATGATGAAGTTTTGATGTGGTTCTCGGGGGTGGTTTATTCCCCGTTCGATTTGCTGCTTACCTGAAGTTTTTGGGTAGTTTTTGTTTGTGGTTGTTGGTGGCTTGCAAATGATTGTTGTAGTGATGGTGTAGGCGGTGATAGTGATTGTGCTCACGATTGTGGTGAGATGGTGGTGGTGGTGGTTCTGACAATGGCGATGCAGTGGTGGTAGTGCTAGTGACGATGGTGAGATGGTGTTGGTGCAGGCGTTAGTGGTACTAGTAGTGGTGGTGAGGTGGCATGTTCGGTTGGTGCCGTGGTTGTGGGATGAGATGAAAAGGGTTTGTAACCAATTACTTAGGTGATTGTGACTAATAAATTGATTAATTTGTAACCAATAAGTAATACGTGATGATAAAATAGATAATTTGTGATCAATAAATAATACATGATCTAAAAAAATGAGATTGTAAATAAATTTATAATCATGACTCACAATTTATTATTTGTGATCAATCGATTTAATAATTTTTTATCTTGAAATAAATTGTGATCTATAAAATTAGTGATTTTTTTATCAAAAAAATATGTGACCTATTAATTTGATAATTTGTGATAGATAAATAAAATGTGCCTTATAAAATTTATGATTTGTGACTGTGAAAATTTACGATTATGATTATTAAGTAATTTTGATCATAAAATGTATAATATTGTGACATTAATATATTTAATTAACATAACTTTTTTAATTACTTATTTAATTAATCAAATTTTATTATGACCTGATTTTTAAAATCTTAAAACATATTTCTTAATTTTGAAATTGTATATTTCAAACACTTTAAATCTGTATTGTTCTAACTTCCCAATTTCAAAGGGCCTAGGGGAGTAGGCTCCCTTGCAGTCAATAAGTTTTTATTTTATTCTTATTTCTTTTTCAGACATTTGTTGCACGAACTGTATAAGAGCCTAGTGTCAATTGGCTGAGTCAAGGTTGGTTCAGCCAGTTGACACCCCAGCACAAATATAGCCTACGTTTGGCCCTCATTTTTTCCAAAACTAAGGGCCCGTTTTCAGTTTTCGAAAACACTGAAAACGTGTTTACTTACGTATTTTTATAAACGAATTTTCAAAAACGAGTTTAAAATTTACAAAGAAAACGGAAAACGCCAAAAAAGTCATTTTGACCATTTTCGGTTAAAACTAAGCCAAAATTTCAAAACGCGGAAAACGACCAAATTTTGCCAATAGCGGGATAATTTAGTTGGGAGAGTCACAGATTTTCTGAAGGTCACAAGTTCGATTATGTTTCACCGTAATTCAATACAAATGGATTTTATTTTTTATAGCACAGTACAAAAAATTTCAAATAAATTAGTAGATGGCTGAAATTCGAACCCGAGTTACCAACATGGAATTTCAATGTCTTAACCACAAAGGCAGCCACTTTTGAATTGTTATAGAAGTAATAAAAACTATATATATATATATAATAAACACGTTTTTTATTTTTGAAAACAATTTTCCAAAATGATAAAAAGAACGCGTTTTCACCAATCTCAAAATGGACACTCAAAACCCAAAATTCAAAATCCAAAATGAATTCAAAACTAAAAACTAAAATACGAAGAGAATATTCTCTAATTTTTTTAATACTCATTTTTAATCGCACATTCTTCCATTAAATAATTTTAACAGTAAATCAAAAAAATTTCTTTCCTTTTCAACCACTCATCCTCCCAAAAAACACTATCTAAAATACACTTTCTTATCAAAATAGGGCTAAAAAAGGGGCATACATTCATTACATTGTGAGGGTGAGAATTGGAAAGTTGCATCTAGGGTCCCTAACCTTTTCGAAAAGAGGAAAAAAAAAGCCTTTATATTCTGGCAGCGTTCTATCTAACCTTTGGGGTAAATAAGTGGTTGAATCACCTTTTGACGATTTCCATTTAATAAACCATTAGTCCAATGTTTGACTGAAAATTGATAATTTTAAGTAAGGTAAAATGGTCTCTTCACATTACGATAATTTAAAAAAAAATGACAGAAAATAAAATAAAATAACTAAAAAAAATTAGTCTCACTTTATGGGGTTGACAACTTTTCAATCACCCATCTCATTAACTTTATTAAAATCTACTAAAAAGCTAATTTTTGATTAAAACAAACAATGGCTTATTTAAAAAGGAAAGTCCTTCGTCGGTGCAAACTTCTGACAATATGTTTTTAGTAGTTATGATTTCAAAGTAGTTGTAGATGGCGACTGCTAGGGTAGTAGTTGAGATGATGGTGACAACCATAGTTTGGGGTTTGAGTGGTGGTTTCGAATTTGGACTCTGACAGGTGGTTGTTGATGGTGTCAATAATGGTACAATAATTATAACGACCACGATATGATGTCGTGGGGGTGGTGGCACTATGTGTCTTTAGGGATTTTCTGGGGAGTGTTGGAGGATATGAAGATTTATTTTTTATTGTTTGAATTATTTTCATTTTTTCTTGAATTCATTTTTTATCTGCTTTTAGTTTTTTTAAAAAATTATTTTATGTTTTTAAGTCTGATGATATGGAAAGTCAATTTTGCCCTTCTTTAAAAGGTCAAATTTCAAACAAACATTGAATTGATGGATTTTTGGACAAAAAACTTGTAGAGGTCCCTAAACCACTTTTTAAATTTTTACCAAAAAAAAAAAAAAAAAGAGACTGAACTGTCAAAAATGAAAATTTTGGACTTCTTCAACTTTTCAAAAATGTTAGGGACCTCATTTGATATTTTCCTGGGTAGAATATCGCATATCAATAGTCATAGCGATTTCCCTAAAAATAATTCAAAATCGGATAATCTGGAATCTACTGTTAGCATGAAACTCAAAAGAAATTTTGTTTTATTGGGAAGCTCATGCTCAACGCACACGTGGATCCCTCAAAGAAGTCCACAATATTGAAAGGGATCTCTCCATATTGAGATTCTCCATGTTTTGAAATTTCCCCACAATTCTCTTCTAAAGATCCAGATAATCAGATCCCCAGGTAATTAATTTGTAGGTTTTGTTTTCTATAATTACACCTATTTATTCGCTATGTTCAGTGTTCTATGGGTGGGGGGGGGGGGGGGCGGGGGGGGGGGGGGGGGGGGGGGGGGGGGGGGGGGGGGGGGGGGGGGGGGTGGGGGGGGGTGGGGGGAGGTGGGGGGGGGGGGGGGGGGGGGTGGGGGGGGGGGGGTGGTGGGGGGGGGGGGGGGGGGGGGGGGGGGGGGGGGGGGGGGGGGGGGGGGGGGGGGGGGNCCTATCTTATGTTCCCTTTCATATTAATGATTTGAGGTCTTAACGATAGAATCTTGATGCTAAAATATTAATTTTTATGGTTCTTGGAAGAAGTTGATTGATATTTAGTTAGGGATTTTTTTAAAAAAAATTCAGACTATACAATTTTAGGCGTTGAGGGAGTAACTGGGGATTCGGACAACGAATTCTCATGTGATTATTGGTGGGCAGCAGTCGTCTCATGTACAACTGCCAATGGCAAGGCAAAGCTCGTGGTTTAGGCTCACGTTCAATGAGGTTGAAAACAAGTTGGGTGATTTGGGTAAACGGCTAGGCAGCATGAACCTTGACGAGTTGCTTAAGAATGTGTGGTCGGCCGAGGCAAGCCATTCTTCTGGAATGGACCCCACTAGTGCTTCCTCTTCGGCCTCACTCCAGCACCAGGCTAGCCTGTCACTAGCGAGGGCGTTTAGGGGGAAGACAGTGGATGAGGTGTGGAGGGATATCCAGCAAGGACAAAAGACTAGATACATGGACGAAATGATTAGCCACGAAAGGGAGCCGACTCTTGGGGAGACTACTCTGGAGGATTTCTTGGTGAAAGCAGGGCTTTATGTGGCTGATACTTCTCTTGGACCTGCTATGGGGTTGGACAACACATTAGCTCCACAGACTTTCACGCCTCAAATGGGTCTGTCTCCTTCTCCTTCGATTGATACATTATCGGATACACCAATCCCAGGCCTGAAGAGGTACACTGGAGACTTTGACAGGACCCTTGAGAGAAGGCTAAGGAGAAAGATTAAAAATAGGGAGTCTGCTGCACGCTCCCGGGCAAGAAAGCAGGCAATATTTTTAATTTGTATTGTGTTATCTTTACCTGCATTTTTTCTTTGTTCTACATATCTCCGACTTCAATTTTCTTACCATATGATAATGTGCATAGGCTTACCACAATGAGTTGGTGAGCAAGGTTTCCCATCTTGAAGAGCTAAACACGAAACTCAAGAAAGAGAAGGTAAAGAATATCTGAATTTTTTTGCTTTCTCTTTCAAGTTTTGTTTTTTACAGTGTAACTATGATGTTTAAAAGCATGAGATGCTTGCTGCAAGGTGATGTTGTTAGATCTGAGTAGTTTGTAGCATTTACCAACTGAAACTTAACCAATAAACAAATGGATGCTTATTTAGGGTACTTAGCTGAGAGTTTCCTTATCATATCCAAATGGGATGAGACTGAATATTTCATGTAGTTTTAAGTTAACAGATAAAGACAGGAAATAATAAATGATTGGAGATCTCTAGTATGAGAGTGATGAGTTCAGAAGTCAATATGCAAAAATTGTGTGCTTAGCTATTGAAACTACTATATAGTTAACATTTTCTACTTAAGTGTTTTTTGGGCTAAACATCCTTGGACTGTTAACTAAATTCAGGATAGTCCATTCATCACCGAAAAAGATAACGTAGTTTGAACCCTCTAACGGTGTACGAGTATTTCCAGAAAGAGAAGGGAATCATATGAATATTGTGGAGGAGCTTGCCATTTCTTAGTGGATAATTTCTGGTCATCATGCACGAAGTAATCATCAAATGGTTGCTTGACAGAAGTGAAACTCCGTTCATCGCCAACCTGATCATGACCTACTTTGCAGATTACCTTGTTAAATATGAATCATGATGCATGGCCTTGATGAACAGCTGGCCCTCACAATAATAATATCTTTACATAATTACATTACTTCTTTCGGGAAATCCATTTGTTTAAAGTTAATTACATGATTCAGGCTTTCCTTCCATTTCATCCCTTACAAATCTTGGTTTCACACCAAGAAATTTGAAGTTGCCATCAGCATAGTTATCATAATTTAGCATTTTATTTGCTTTGGTTGCTTATTTTTAGTGTCTCAGTTTTCAAGTTTAGGTTTGGGGCTGGCAGCACAATAGATTTGTTTGTAAGATTTGCACTCTACAGTAAAGCTTTAGATTTGAACAGTTGCCTACAGCTCAGTCAAAATTGTCTTGTATCTCTAATGCCTAATTTGGGAAAGCATTAGACAATGCATTCTACTAACAAAATCTTTATATACTAAAGTGATACACTTCTTCGGCTTTATCTGCCTTTCCAACATTGTAGATTAATCTCCCAATTTATTCAGAAGGTTAGAATGTTGCTACATGTTGGATAATATAAAAATATTTAATATTTTTGTTTAACTAGTACAAAGTAGAAGACCCTATTTATAGGGTTACAAATATTTCTAAATGTAAAGATTGCGTGGTAATCACATAATCAATTATTGAGAAAAAATAATCGCACACCAGAGGAAATAATCTTGTAACCTTCCCATATCTTTAGGACTTCAACATTACCCTCAAACTCAATATTGTTGAAACCAAATTGAGTTTGAAAATTTATTTGATATGACCAAACTGTCCTCTTCCAAAGCTCAAATGATACATAATTGTGTTCACAATGCATACTGAAAAAGCCAACCAGAGAACTAGAAGCTAGTGCCAAAAAAAAAAAATCATCATCCACCAATATAACAAGACCATCACCAATACTTGAGGGATATCATTCACAAGTAGAAAGAACAAGGTCAAAATCAGATGCTCAAACAATTTTTCCCAGCTAAACTTGCCGACGATAGACCAGGTTAATAGTAGCACTCCGAAGATCTATGAGTTGCACAAGCAATCCACCCAAAATGAAGAAAAAAGATTGGCTTAACAGGAATCTAGGCATGCAAAGAGGCTAAGAAACAAGAGAGCTTCTCTTTGAATGGTGTTACTTTTTTGTTTTCGAAACAAGCCACCACCCTTCATTATATACCTGGTGGTATCTAGTATCTACTTCAGTAGAATCATTGGAAGATCTTTACACCAATTGTAAATTACTTCCTGTGCTTAAACCGTGTTCATCGTCATTGCTTTTCAGGTTTTTCCTTTTTTAAATAGACAATTGATATGTTGCTAAAATTGTTAGGGTCTTGAATTCTAAGCGCCCGTTTGGCTCCCATTATTTGAAATTTTAATTGTTGGAATAATGTTTTTTTGAAAAATGTGTGGTTAAAAAAGAAGAAAAAGTTTTGGGATTATGTGTAATATTATTTTATTGGAGAATGTGTGGTTGATAAGAAGAGATAGAAAAATGAATTATAATTTTAAAGGGGGCCAAAGAGGGGCTAACTTTAGATATTGTCGGAGTTGGTCTGACTAAGCCATCTTCCATTGCATCGGTTTTTGAATGTGATATGGCTGACAAAAGTTGCTTTTCTGAGATTTCTTCTTCTTCTAGTTGCAGAATCCAAAATGAGCGAGTGGAACAGTGGAAATTGGTTCTATTTTGATCCATTTTGTTTGAACTTCCGTTATGTTGTTTTCATGTCTGATAATTGCTTTAGATTCGTTTATATCATCCTCTGTAGGTTGAAGTGTCACATGATTATGTATTTCATCTTTATCCTAGTTTATTAAGGACACAATTGCCTTTTCATCTGATTGTTTTCCATTCATCCATTTCATAGGTCAACAAAATAATTCATGAAATTAGGATGTGTACTCTTCATGCAAATTTGGTAAATGGATATAAAAGTTGTAGAAAATGGAAGTTCGTATCCAAATTGATGATATTCAAAAACGAGATTATTTAACCTATCTTTGGCCGTACATGTCCTTCAGAAACTGGAATTTCATAAACCTTGTCGACGTACTCTTACTATAAATCCGTATGTATGATGGTGTTATTTCAGTACTCCTCCTATGGAGTAAAGTTTTAATTTTGCTATAATGTAAACTAGCTTTTCCTTTGTCCCCCTTCTCAGTTAGTTGACAGTGATGGTACAGTTACTTTCATAGTGAACAAAGCTATTTCTATTTGTTGTATTCCTCTTTTGATAGTAAGGATGGTAACTCAATACTATTCTTATTCTTTCTAGGAATGGGAGAATACGATGGCTCGCAATTTTGACAAACCAAGATATCAGCTTCGAAGAACAAGTTCATTCTGACATTAAGCTGTGAAAATTTTGTAGCTCGGCTGAGCTTAGGATTGTTCTCGTGGGTCTACTGGAGGAGTCTGTTAGGAAATCGAAATGTAGAGTAGCTTTTGCTTTTGCTTCTGATGCTAATGCTGCTTAATGTTCAGTCCATATGTATATTTATTAGCTTAATCTTGTTAGAACTTGCTGCTTATACATATCCGAGCTGAAGTGTTCGAAGAACTAGCCGAGCTGAATGTTATGGCATATGATAGTCAGTGTTCTTTAGTTGGGTATTTATAAATGCACCAGGCTTTGCTCTTGCAGTGCAAATATACAAGCCTTGTTTGATCTATACGTGTTATGATTGCACACTTGCAAATCACTGCCCGTATGTGGAAAATATTGTTTTCTTATTTCTTTTTCCTTTTTTTCCCCTTAATTTTAACTTAGACAAAAAAACAAATTGTTTTAATTTTTATAAAAGTTTATATTTTATCTTTTCGTAAAGAGTAATTTCGTCCCAATCTTACTTTTGTGAATATTGATTTCCCACTAACAAAAAATGAATGAACTAAATCAAGCAATATAAACTTTTTTTTTAAATTAATATTTTAAAACATGTATTTATGTTGATTTGTTACTTATTTGTCAACCATATTATAATTTTTTTTTTATGATTTTGTAATTTTATTAATAAACTTTGTAATGTTATTTTTTAAATTAAAATAAGCTCGCCAGAGTAAAAAAAAATGGAAAAAAAAAATCTTTAGAAATAATAAAATACAAAAATATAAAATTTAATAGAACAATAATATCAAAATAGTATATAATAAATAAAGCCCCTATGTGATTCAATTAAAAAGTTAGATTAAAATTAAGTTAAAGTCAACAATTAATTTTAACTACACATTTCACACAATCCATAACTTTTCAATCACACATTTTATCAAATTTATTAAAAATATGATTTTTATCTAAATCAAACATGGGCAAAATCTGTAGGGAGAATCTATTATGAAAAGTAAACTTTAGGGGGGGATCTTATAATATTTAAAAATGGAAGGACGTCTTTATAATTATCATAAATTTAAATGACGTTTTTCTAATTTTTTTAATTATTTTGCTGCTTTGGAACGAATGAAAGCGATTTATTCGTTTGTAATAGCGATTTATTTGTTTCGCCCGTGGAGAAGAACCCCATCAACTAGGGCTGTCCGTGGGTCGGTTCGGTTCGGTTATGAAGAGACCCGAACCGACCCAAAATTTTCGGGTATTTAATAAATAGACCCGTCGGGTCCAAATATAATTATGGAACCGTTCGGGTTCGGTTCGGTTCGGGTCGGTTCGGTTCCGTACCATAATTAAATTTTTAAATATTTTCAACAACACTACATAAATACAACTAATGACATTTCATTCAAAAACATATAAATAACTAGCCGTCCAATAAGATTAATTCAATGCATACAAATATCAAAAAGTAGATATTAATATTACAGCAAAANTAATTTAATTAATTCAATATAAAAAATAAAAAAATTATTTAGTTTCGGTTCTTATTCGGTTCTTCGGTTCTTGGTCTAGACCCGAGACCCGACCCAAACCCATCGGTTCTCGATTCGGGTACCCGTTCGGGTATTTAATTTATGAAGAACCGCTCGATTCGGTCCGGTTCGGTTCGGTTCGCGACTTTTGGACACCCCTAAATGAAACTCAGCATCATGAACAGTCGTACGACTCGAAATTAATAGTCATCGCAAATTGTTTGTGAGCACTGAGCAATACTTTTGTTCCTCATAACCGTAATGTTAAGCAATACATAAAACGGTGACTCCCTTTAATATATCAATTGACTGTAGATTATTGAGTCGCTTCTTAGTTTTCGTAGTTTGTGGTGTAGTACTTGGTAATCCTTTTTATCTTACTCAGTTATATTTAAATTCTTGATTACAGGTGGATGAATTACAGATTACCATCGAGGAAGAGCAGAGGAATTTAATAGAGGAAATGCGAACATCAGTTGATGAGAACAGGACTGGAGTTGAGGATGGCACGGGGGGTCTCGAAGCCATGGCTCTTGATTAGCTAGTAAATTGCACTTTTTCCCTGGTACTCATAATATTTGCTGCTGCACTTGGTTTTTTTAATTTTTTTTTATCTCTGCGTGTATAACTATTGTCTATAGACAACAATAAATCGAAGTGGTCCCTAACACAATCTATTTTGAAAATTCTACTGAATCTCTTGTACTTTTTTAAGGACCCTTTTTCTTCTCTGTTTGGCCATACACGTAAAGTATGGGAAACCATTGGTGTGAGTTTGCATCTTTGTAAACAATACAGCACATTTTGAAAGGTGATGTGGACACTTTACGTGTATGGCCAAGTCTCAGCAAGTATATGGATATGGAATCCTAAGGCTTGTGGCTTGTGTCTCTAGTAATCTACATTTTACATTCCCTGCGGCCCTGCTGAGATTCTCCTTAAATGACTTGTGCTTATTTGACATACGGACTAAAACTGACTTTATTTGGGAATGTTCCTCTTGAACTCTCATCATGCGTTCTGTAATAGTTTAATCTGCAACCTTCAGATTTGTCTATTTGGGGATGTTTAATTGGGAGGGATCCTTTACACCTTGCACGGAGGCTATTTACGCATATGTACTGACTTAGAAATCTGTGGATGCAGTCAAGATACGAAAACAAGCCCAAGATGCGCGCTCGTGCTTATGTGTCTCTGTTCTACTTGAAATTCCAAGGTTGCGCAGTCGAAGAAGACACATCTTTGTTGGGTGGATATTTTCTAGAGTTTTTCGAGTAGCTCTCACTGCTATTTTTATCTACTTTTGTAATGTTATGTACCTTATAGCTTGCTCTATTTTTGTCTAATTGGAGTTCAGTTGTCAAATAAAGATAATCTTCCACAAAATTAGCCGAATTATTTCTTGTGGATTGCTACCTATGAACAAATACTAAATGACTTCTTAATGCCTATTCAAATTCTAGGACTTAACAAATATAATATTCATATGTGAAATCTTCATGTTGGCTTTCTCAATTTATTTGCGAACAAGAATTTAAGGGCTTGAATCGAGTAGCTCTTATTTGGTTACTGTTTATAACTAATCGAATTACTTTTTTCAACATATTTCTTGGGCTTACAAATACTACTTACTTATTTGTCACTCGTTTTTTTTTTTTTTTATATATTTATAATTTATACTTTTATAAACAACTTCTAAACATGCTTAAAATGACTATGTTTTCATGAAGAAAATGAACGAAAGCATCCAACTTTTGGATTTTTGATTCATATGCATCTCAAAATGGATGAAATAAGGGTTTAGCATTTTACCTTTGTCGGATAGTTAGCCTAAGACGAGGCAATAAAGTAGAGCTTGCGGCATTTTAATGCAGTTTACGCACTTGAATAATAAATTAGAAATAATCGTGATTATTTGATTTACTTGTTAATTCTAGTGATTGATTAGAGATGCCAAATATAAGTAGCTGTGATGATGGATCAACTCACTGGTGCTACTGCTACATATTCAGGCATCTAGTTCGTCTTCCAGTAACATATTTGATTTGCCCACGTTGCCAGGATGGTTTCGTAGAAAAATTAGAAACATGCTGTGTACAGAAGAAAAACATACGGACAACCTACAGAATACACACAATATGTGGGGTCCCTTTTTTTGACAATATTTAATTCACATGGGGTCCACCCCCATGTGAGTGTGTGTAATTTTTCTGTATAAAATTTTTCTGTACAAACAGAATTTTCGACCCCCCCAATTTTTTAACAAAAAAGTTTTT